GTAGTAGGGTGAACGAGTCAGACTCAGCCCTTCCACGCAGTGGAATGAGGTACACTGGATGTTATTTTGCCTTCTGATGTGCAAGTGCTCTTGTCTTAAACTCCGGCAACTTCACTTTCTTCTCTACAATATTCCTTTTCTGCCTTTGTTTTTCTCCCCTCAGAAAAGGGGATAGTCCGTAACCTTGTTGTATCCAGTGAACGCTGGACCTGTTTATGAAAAGCCATAGTGTACCAGTTAGCCATCAGGGCAAGCTTACTTGGCTTTTTGGAACTTTGTAATAAACTAGTGATCCGTCTGCTACTTTCCATAGCGCCAAGGCCTGAAGTCATCAATTTTACTGGTACCGATCCCCATCAAAATCCAACTACGGTAGCTTTTCACGGACTGACCCACTCTTTGTGTGCAACCTCCATGTGGCGGCACCCTACTTCGGCCTGAAGCTGTTGGAGTGGTTACTCACCAAGTCGCCATTCTGTGTGTATCACCTTTCTCTGCAGGTGGACTGATGTGCAGAGGCTGCAAGCAGCGAAGGAAGGCATCGGATATAGGTTGATGTTGTTTGGAAGATTGGTAAGCAACAGGGAAGCCAGCTCAGTAAATTACTCTGGCAAAGTGATGCAAGGTTTCCTTTTTTTTCCCTCTTTTTTTTTTTTCTGTCCATTGAATTTCGAGCAAAGTGATGCCTTGTGGGGGGGGGGGGAAGGAGGGGCGTGTGTGTGTGCGTGTGTGTGCCAGATGTGATGTGATGATTTTTTGATGCGGACGCTGGAGAAATGAGAGAACCAGCGAAACTGGTTCAACGTATTTGGCTCCCATGTTTTACCTGGAAGTGTCTGCAAAATGACATTGAGGACTGGACAAAAAACATTTAATGGCTTGTTGTGTGGCCTGTGCTGTCCTGACAGCCGTGGGAATCTGATTGCTCTCGTTATTATTGCCTGCTTTGTCACCAGTAAGATTTATCAATTCCTTGTGCTTGTCCTCTATTGTGCACAGTTCACAATCTAGCATTTAAAAATCCCTCCTTTATTCCTGTAGGCCTTGGACGATATCTTGAGATATCGCCATGCACCTAGCGAGGGCCTGCTAATCACTCTTCTGTTTTTCTGGGTGAACTTTTCTGATGTGGTGCAGGCCCTTGTCATTGCAGCAGCGGATGCCCTTTTGGTCGGTGCCCAGAAGCTAAATGAAGTTTTACGTCACTAAAATCTTACATCCCGAGAGCACACCACCTCCACATGACATATCTGCAGCCTTCCATCCTACCATCCTTCTCCTCTCTCTCTCTCTCTCTCTCTCTCTCTCTCTCTCTCTCTCTCTCTCTCTCTCTCTCTCTCTCTCTATCTCTGTGTGTGTGTGTGCGTGTGTGTGTGTGTGTGTGTGTGTGTGTGTGTGTGTGTGTGTGTGTGTGTGCTTCCTTCCATTTTTCCCCTCTTTCCTCGCCTTCATTCGTCTCGTCTTCTTGGTCATTCCTATCGCTTTTCAGATTCCTCTTTCCGGAAGAAATCTTGTTTATATTCCCATCCTGTAGAGCGGTTAGGATATTTATAGAAGAGTCAGTTTAGCATGACGTGATACCCTAGCTTCCATGTTATCAATAAAACATTTTTTTCAGACATTGCTCGTCTGTTTTCCCCATTGCTGGGGAGTTAACAAATGCCTTATGCACATGACATATTACCCAACCTCCTCACCTTTTCAAGCGACCAAATGCCTTGCTCCCATCCTTCTCCTCTCTCTCTCTCTCTCTCTCTCTCTCTCTCTCTCTCTCTCT